AAGTTTAAATTTATTAATTAAGATATTTTAAATTAATTTTATATACATTTTTATATCAAATTTATAATTTTTTACAAATTTTAAGTATAAATATTATATTATATTTTTATATTATATTTTATTTAAATTTTATATAAAATTAATTATAAATATTATAACTAATAAAATTTAATAAATATCCTTACAATACATATTAAAAAATCTCATAAAACATTTCCGGTCGCGCTAACTCTATAAATCATTGCGTTTGGAGAAGAGCCACCCTCCGGCAGCAATCATCATTGCGTATTGACGGGAGCAGCCTCGACACTCGGCCTTCGTTCCTTCTCACAATCTGATATGTAGTTCAGCAACACTCATAAAATTTGGACCCCATAAAAAGGACGATAACATAGCTGTGTTGCTCTAACTTTCGTGCATTTTTGGCTTTTATTGCACATTGATGTCCCCTCATTTGTTTCCACTTTCCTTTATGTCACTATACTTATCATTAAAGAAAGATGACATGTCAACCAACATCAAAATACGTTCTGTTCTTGGTCGGAGTGACATGCTATTGATTTTTCTTAATGACATAGTTTTTGTCCAACTAATTTCGTCTCTTAATTTTTATATTTATATTAAAATTATTTTAAATTTAAAAGATATTAAATTATTTTTAAATTTAATAACCTTTAAATTGTGAAATTAAGCGCCATTTCACTCCTTAAATTTTAAAATAAATACTATCTTAAAGAATTAGAGATGCCTAAATTTTCTCAGTACCTAACTCAAGAAGAGTTGGGTTCATCAAACGTTAACATCGCTAAGTCTCCATCCTTTCTATTACTTTCATAAAGTTAACCATGTTATACTAACGGCAGTTGCAACGCATGGTCGAGAAGCAACGAAATGGTGCCCATCTTATAACAATGTTAAAAAATTATCGTTTTAATAATTTTTTGGACTGGTGGAACTCTACGGATCGACAAGACCCTACACCGACTATCCGGTGTCCAAGCAAATGCGGTGCACCTTCTAGGAAAGCAAACGTAGGTAAAGTTTTAGAAAGGTTAAATTTGGTTCCTCAACTTTCATTTTTGAATTAAATCTACCTTTAAACTTCAAAAAATATTAAAATTATTCTTCAATTTTAATTTTTGATACTAATTTTGTCCTTTTGTTAGTTAAGTGATGATGTGATCAAGTTTTTTTGTTAACGAAGTCAATTTCTTTTAATATTAAATATTTGGTGGAAAGAAAAGTAGGTGATATGGTATACTTTGTAATCTGTGGTAAAATTTGAAAATGACATGAATTTTATTAAGTTAAATTGAAATTTAAATAATCATTAAATAACTTTGATTTGGTTAAATATTTAATTTGCCCTCCCCAAGTAAGCTTGTCATTTTAATAGAAAGATACCTTTTATTTTCAATCGAAAATAGTGACATTTTTTAGAGAACAGAGGATGGCTACTGAGCGTGAAGGCAAAAGATGGTACGACAATGGCAACTTGACAACCAGTTTCAAGGATTTCATGAACAGATTGCTAGCTTTTAACAAGGGATTATTGAAACAATGTGTGTCCTTCCACTTTGTTAACTTCCCAGAGGATTGGGGGCAAAGCAGTTGTTTTCAAACAGTTGTTTTTCTTTATTAGGAAGGTTGTAAAAGCATGTAGACTTTGGGATGTTTTCATCTCGAGCAAGAGGGACAAGAGAGGCAGTAGGTATGGTTTTGCCAGATTTTCGGATGTAAGGAACAATCAAGAAATGAAGAAGCAACTGGAAAATATCTAGATCGGTAACCAAAGGGTGATTTTTAATCCAATTGCGGATCGACGTGAAGAGAAGACAAGGATGGAAGCAAATTAGTGGAAGAAGTAAGAAGGAAAAGTAACAAGAGGACGACCATTGCTGAAGATAAGAGAAAGGTGGAAAAAGGGGGTAAGGAAGTTCCAAGAATGACATATGCACAATGCTTTCTTCAACAGAAAGGGAAGACAAACTCCAGCGAAATAGGGAAGAAAGGTCCTCCATTGACAAGGGCAAAAGAAAATCCAAGGAGCTTTAGTGTAAGAATGTTTAAGATTTCCAATCCTGGTGGCTTTGTGTACAAAAAGGTGATCAAATTAAAAGAGACAAACAATGCCGAAGACAAATTGATGAAGTGTGCAGTGGGGGTGGTTTTATCTCCGTCTATCATCCCAAATCTTTTAGAGATATTCTTTAATGAAGGATTTTCTTCAATCAAGATTGCCCTTATGGGAGGTAACCTTTTGGTGATTAATGATGAGGACCCGGAGTGTATAAAGGAGCTGGTAGATGGGAATCTACGGTGGGGGGCAGCTTATTTTGACAGAATTAAGTATTTGTCTCCATTAGATATTGCAGAAGAAAGATTTGTGTGGGTGAGGATCCAAGGGTTACCATTACATGCTTGGTCTGAAGAAAGCTTAACAATGATTGGTAACCATGTGGGCAAGCTTATATCAATTGATGATTAATACACACTCTCTAAGGAGTGTCTGGATGCTGCAAGAGTTTTAGTCTCCACCAAATTCAAATTGGCAATAAATGAAGAATTCATCCTTAAAGTGAAAAATAATAGTTTCCACATTGTTTTAGTGGAGGAAAATTGGAGGACTGATCCCTGGTGGTTGAAGAAAACTGTAAACTCAATTATTGAATCAGATATGAGTTCAATGGCATTTAACTTCGGTGATGAATCTGATGAGCTTGACGGATACAGCTTAAACAGTCTACAAGAAGAAGAAATTCAAACACCTTTCAAAGGTGTCAAAGGCATTAATTATTCTAACAAATTTTGCGTTTCAAAGACACTGGTTGAAGTGGGCAAGGTAAACAACAACACTCTGTCAAATCAAGAGAGTGGGAAACAGAGAGAGGACCGGGAAAGTGAGCAAGCAAATGGGAAGCATACTGGTTTCATTACAGCTCCATCTTTTGATGTGCAGGTAGTCCAAGAAACAGCCCAATCTAAAACCCTAAATGACAACAAAAATGAAGCCCACTTGGTGAAAGACAACACAAAAATGGATTTCCAAGAGAATGGTGGGCGTTGAGGGATTAAAAAGCCTAACAAGAGCCCTTCTTTACCAGCAGAAGTCAGGATAGATTTAACAAAACTGGCAACTGGTACAAAACATGGAAAAAGAAGAAAAGCAACGATTCAAATAGTTAACTTCGGTGGTGAATCACCGGTTGGTTCTTTATTGGACAATGATATTATATACAACAACAGGAGAATCAAAGAAGGCATGATTATAGAGGAAGTGAAGAAGGTGCTGGATTTTGGGGGCAAGCTAGGGATTGAGATCAAAAACTAAGAAGAGCAGATTTTGGAAAGACTCAGGCGAATGGAAGAAAGGGACATGCAGGGGCATGTTTGTGAGCCATTAAGGTAGGATTTTCTGTCATTTCTCAGAAATTACTATAAATGAAGTTGCTATCTTATAATGTGAAAGGGTTCGGCAGTGTTATAAAAAGAAAAGTCGTGAGAAGTATGGTGAGAAAAGAGGAAATTAATTTTGCTTACTTTCAAGAAACTAAAATAGAAATGATTGACCAGGAATTTTGTCTGTCTATTTGGGGGCATGGAAATTTTGATTGGGTATATAAGGCTTCAATGGGTAGATCAGGAGGTTTGCTATGTGTGTGGGACAACAATGTATTTGTTAAAAAAAAAGTTGTTGAAATACCAGGTGCTTTGGCAATTTATGGTATGTGGGGAGTAAAGAAGCAAAAGTGTTGCATTGTGAATGTGTATGCATCGTGTAATAGGAATGAAAGATTGGAAACATGGGCAAAATTATAGAAGATGATTAAGGAAAGGGAAGGCTTTTGGTGTATAGCTGGAGACTTCAACAGTGTGAGATCAGAGGAGGAGAGAAGAGGAAGATTTGAGCATTCTCACTATAGGGAAGATCTTAATGACTTCATTGAAAGTGTTGCGTTGAATGATTTGCCACTAACAAGAAGGAAGTTCACTTGGTATAAGAGCGATGGATTAGCAATGAGTAGATTGGATAGATTTCTTATTTTTGATGATCTCCTTACTTTCTAGGGTGACTGTTGTCAAGTTGGATTAAACAGATCCATTTCAGATCATTGTCCGGCGATACTAAAGAAGGTTAACAGTGATTGGGACCCAAAGCCATTTAGAGTTTTGAATTGTTGGGATCACCATCTAGATTTCATTGGTACAGTTGATAATATCTGGAAAACTATAGAGGTTAGAGGATGGAGGGGATATGTATGCAAAGAGAAATTTAAACAATTGAGGAATAACCTAAAGAAATGGAATTTTGAAGTCTTTAGCCACATTGAGCATCAAATTGCAGACACATAAGCTAAAATTAAAGAAGTTAATAGTAAGAATGAGGACAACGAAGTATCAGAGGAGGATATCTTGTGTAGAAGGGAAGGCTTAAGTGAATTATGGGCAGCATGGAAAAGAAGAGAAGTGGCATGGAATTTTGAAGTCTTTGGCAACTTTGAGCATCAAATTGCAGACACATAAGCTAAAATTAAAGAAGCTAATAGTAAGAATGAGGACAACGAAGTATTAGAGGAGGATATCTTGTGCAAAAGGGAAGGCTTCAGTGAATTATGGGCAGCATGGAAAAGAAGAGAAGTGGCATGGAAACAAAAAATTAAGCTTGATTGGGTCCAGTAAGGAGATGTTAATTCTAAACTATTTCATAGAATTGCTAGTGGTAACAGGACAAGAAAATTGATTTGCAGCATTTATAAAAATGGCTCATGGATGGAAGAACCCAGTGGAGTGAAGCAAGAGGTGCGTGAATATTTCAAAAATATCTTTCAAGAAGAACAGTGGGATAGGCCAAAGCTTGATGGATTGCAGTTCAAACAACTAGATGACGAAGACAGAATTTGGCTGGAAAGAGATATCTCAGTGGAAGAGGTGAAACTAGCAGTGTGAGAATGTGGAGGGGATAAGTCTCCAGGTCCTGACGGGTTTAGCTTCCGCTTCATTAGATCGATCTGGAGTGTGGTTGAGAAAGATATTGTTGATTTTGTTTAAGAATTTTCTAGCAATGGAAAGTTAGTAAGGGGACTAAACTCTTCATTTATTGTCCTTGTCCCAAAAAAAGACAATCTTGTTGACTTAAAAGACTATAGATCCATCAGCTTGATTAATAGTCTTTATAAAATAATATCGAAGGTGTTGGCTAACAGGATTAAGAAAGTTCTATCTAAGGTGATTATTGGGACATAATTTGCATTTTTGGAAGGAAGACAAATCACTGATGGAATCTTGATTTTAAACGAAGTGGTAAAGGAGATCAAGAAGAAAAAGGTAAGTAGCTTCATTTTTAAAGCAGATTTTGAAAAAGTGTATGACTGTGTGAATTGGGATTTCTTAGATGAAATGATGTGGAGGCTTGGATTTGGTGAAAATGGAGAACATGGATAAAGGAGTGTTTGCAAACTACTTCTGTGTCAGTCCTTGTTAATGGAAATCCAATTGACAAGTTTAAAATGGAGAAGGGGATAAGACAAGGTGATTCGATAGCTCCATTCCTCTTCTTAATTATTGCGGAAGGCTTAAATGCATTGATGAAATCAACCATAAGCAAGGAACTATTCTAGGGAGTTGACATAGGCCTCTTTGGTCTTAACATATCCCACCTCCAATTTGCCGATGACACTATTATTAGGGGGAAGGTAGATCTTGGAAATATTAAAGCTGTGAAGGGATTTTGAGATGGTTTGAGCTGGTGTCGAGTTTGAAAATCAACTTTAACAAAAGTGTGCCATATTCATTTAACGTTTCCGATGAGTGGGGGAGAATGGCAGCTGCTTCTCTTAATTGTAAATCAGGCTCCATCCTTTTCACCTACCTTGAGATGCTAGTTAGGGATGCTATGGGTAGAAGGAAAGCCTAGATTCCAGTTATTGAGAATTTTAATAAAAAGTTGATAATCTGGAAAGCGAAATGCCTATTGATCGGTGGCCAAGTTACGCTGCTAAGGTCCATACTTTCTACCTTCCCTATTTACTTTATGTTTGTTTTTAAAATTCTTAAAATTGTACTCCATGAACTTGTTTGCTT